GTGTGCCAAAAGTGGGCGCTGTAGGTGCAGTAGTTTTCGCACAATTCTATTTGTTTACAACGGAGGCTCCAAAAGTTATGAACTTTAAGCCTCTGTACAGGCGTTAATTTTCAACCAAACATGATTCTGAAAGCGTCATTGTAATCTTAAGGACGTAATTAAGCGACCTATTAAAAAATGTCACCGTTTTTTTGACATTAACATTCTCAAATAGTGCATTAAAAAACCGTGCGTTTTTCGCTTATAAACAATTTGAAAAAAATTGTTGCTATTTATGCTACCTCACCGAAAATAGATTCAATGGATAGCTGGCAAAAAAAAATACAAATTTAAAAAAAGCACCCTCTACGACCAACAGGAGCCAAGATAAGAATTTTTTTTAAATCGTAGCGCAATTGTTTATAAACATAAAGACTTGAATTATTCACAAAATTAAGTTTACGACGTAAACTATGATTTCCCGTAAATTGCATTGAAGAATGTGGAAAATTAACGTCTAAGCCCTTTAAAGAGAAGGTACCTGCTAAGTAAACTGTCCGGTGGCGGTGTGGTGATGGGGGAAGCTCGTCCAAGCGAGTCGCGCGCGCGAGAAAAGTGACATCCAAAGTTCAAATTGATGCGCGCTGTAAAATTTTGCAATATCTCAGCTTCTCTTCATCGTAGAAACTTATTTTTTTAAAACTGGGGTAGCTCGACGAAAAAATATCAATGGGCATATTTAAGAATTCGTAGAATAGCCCTGAACCCGAGAACAAATGCATCTTTTATACTTAATTTTTTTTAATTTACAAAAATGTGACAAAAATTATTGTTAAATAAAATATTAATTAAAATTTCAATTTCGGAACTATTTTACTATTATTAAATAAATAAATGATGCTATCGTTCATTTAAAAAGTTATTTTTTTATGTATAGAAATTTTTCATAACTTCTGGACACCCTGGTTTAAAATTTTCTGCTGCTGAATAAAATTTACAAAACACCTCACAAAAATTTAAAATAAACTTGAAAATTAATCAGTTAAAAACATTTCAATGCACTTATCTAGCTCGACCAAGGAAATCTCCAGATACAGCCGTTACTGCTTCTCCGGAAAGAATTGGCAGAACAAGAAACAGAAATTCACAATCTCAGCGTAAGTATAAAGCAGTTCTCTAACGAAGCTGGAAACAATTAAGCATTTTTTCTGTAGCCACAAGTAGATCTGGATCTCCCAGTTCTCGCCTAGCTTACATATATCAAAGGGCAGCCGATCACGAATCTCCCAGACCAAGGAGATTATCTTCAGGTATACCAAGGTCTACTCAAGGATCTCGGGACACTTCTAGGGAAACTAGTCCTAGTAGGGGATCTAGTCTTAGTAGGTTTAGGAGAGGCAGCGATAGACCACCATTGAGCCCTGCGTCACGTCCAGTTTTGGCACAAAAAATATTGCAACAGAGTCGGGAAGCCGAGAATGCTCTAGCGGATGCCTTTGTGAGTATTCTCATTTTATCTCATTTTATTGAATTCAATTATGAAAAAAAATACTGATTTCTATTTTCAGAATGATTCTACAGAACACTTCAGAAGTCCTAGGAAGGGAATGAGGTCTTTGGACAACCACTCGGATGAATCGGAAACTTCAAGTGTATGTTCTGAACGTTCTTATGATTCATTCAAGAGGCCTAGTGATGTAAGTATTCATCAAAAATTACGTTGCTGCTACTGTTTCCTGTGAGTTTGTTTGGCAGTGCCACATGCTTATGGAACAGCTTAATGAAACGTGTCTATTTCTTAAGCTTTAAAATATTGTTGAAGCTCTGTTTTCAATTATAAGGCTTCGTTATGAAAATTATGCATTTGCTGTGTCATTATTTATATTTGAAACATTAAGATTTATTAATCTGCTCTCAGAATAATCCATTGTTTCTAAATAAATAAAAAAAATTACAGATGACGAGTAATTTACCACAGTATAAATTCACATGAGGAAATTGAAAAATGCTCTATAAACATAATGATTCTGATTTGTAAACTATATTAGAAAAGTTCTGTAGTTATCAATTCTCAGAAAACAAAAAAAATATTGGTTCATCTTAACAGCATCACAACTTTCACGATTACTATTGCTGGTTTTCTGCACTAAAACATAAACTAAACACTAAAATACTTCTTTGTCAAATTGTGATTCATTAATCATTTGAAATTGCTTTTAATATAGACAACTTGCATAAAAATCAATTTCTTTTAGATTTGCATAAATTTGAAGCCTATAACCAACACCAACTTAATTATTAATTTCTTTAATGATACATATTAATTATAGATGTTTAAAATTATGTAAAACTTTTAATTTTGTCAAGTGATCAAGAAAGCATTGTGACAGCGTTTAGTGCAACCAAGAATACAGCCTGCTGCTCGGCCATATGCTGTGTAGTATACAGAGTGTTTCAAAAAGGTGTTGCCAAAGGTAAGGGAGTTATAAAGGACATTGCGGTAGAAAATATTTGTATATGCATCAGTTTTTTTCCAAAAACGTAATGTCATCTTGTCACTAAAAGACTTAACTATTTAAGTAATTTTTATCAGAATAACGCAAAATTAATAAATTTATAATAATTGTTCAAAACGGCAACTCCTAACATTGTTACATAAATTTGTCCGTCGAATCATGGAATCGCTCACCCGTTGTAACATGTGCGGATCTTGCTGCATGAAAAGACAGGCTGCTATCAGTCTCCCTAACGGTTCCTTTTTGGTGGCCACAGAGGTTTCATTGATGTAACCCCAGACGAAAAAATCCAATGGGGTTAAATCAAAACTTCGCACTGGCCAGCTGACAGAGCCTCCTCTTCCAATCCATCGTTCAGGAAATTATTGGTTTAGGTGATACTGCACATGCAGGTTGCAATTTCCATTAGCTCAGAAAGTACGCCTTGCGAATAATTTAATGGTACGATTGAGCCCAGGTGGACGCAGAATGGGACCAATTAAAAAGTCGCCAACAATATTGGCGCACATATTAATAGCAAATTGGTTCTGATTTGGTCTGGTCCATGTGGCGTAAGGATTGTAATCGTCCCATAAGTGGCTGTTGCGACTGTTGAAGCACCCGTCCCTGGTAAAACAAACCTCATCGGTAAATAAAATTATTGAACCCAAATCCGGTTTTGCAATACATTGCAAATACTATCAACAAAATTGTACTTTTGGCTGATAGTCCTGCGGAGCTAGTGCTTGCACTTTTTGATACGTGCAATGGAGCTTTTATCACACAATTGTGGACAAAATCCATTTTTACCAACATCGTTTGTAGAACACGCAGTTGGCAAACACTTATCAAAAGAAATAAACTTGTTTATTTTATTTCAAATCATTTTTGCCTTATCCTTAGTAAAAATTACTTAAATACTGGAGTCTTTTGGCGTTAACAAGATAACATTATGTTTTTGAACTAAAATTGCTCCAGGTCCAAAACGGCTCATTTCCTACTAGGGATTTATTTGAAAAAACTCTACATCAGTGTCCTCTATAACTCCTTCAAGTTTGGCAACACCTTTTTGAAACACCCTGTATAATCGCCATTCCGATGAAATGGAACCTAATCTAAAGAAACACGCATTCTCTGAAGCAGTGTGAATTTGGCTGTCTCGAGACTCTTGTTACTTAGTATAATCATGCTGTCAAGCCATCCGGACTCTGTCATTCCACTTTTCCATTCTTGATCCCACTAAATCGGTGTCACGAATTAATGCAACAGCGAAAATCTGTTTAAAACATTTATTTTTAGTGTCAAACTTTAATCAGTTATTACAGTTATAGATTATTTCTAGATTTTTAAAAAATATATAATATGCAAGTTGTTCATTATCACGACATACCTCCATCATATTTTTACAAAGCAGACATATTAATTACACATAATGGTTTCTTCACGAAAAATATTACTAATAAAATATAAACAATGATGTACAGAGTCTTCAGACAATAATAAAATGTGAAATAGTTGAAGAGCAAACTGACTCAATTTTTAATACTACAAAGAAATCTGATTTAAATTGTTTGTAATTAAAATGTAAAAACAAATTTCAAGTAGGACCTTCATGTTAATAATTTCGTTTTAAGTAATAAATATTGGAAGCAAAACTAAAAAATTAAGTTATCATCTAGTAAAGTGTTAGCAGTAATCTAATTTTGCTTTTCGATAATTCCACATTGTTTCCAGAATTAGCACTCATAAATTTTGTGTTTCAAATACCCCTATAAATAGTCCATAGTGATCAAATCAGGACTTTATGGTGACAGGGTTAAGACTACATCTATTTATATAGTGCCAAAAGTATGATGTAATCAATTACGAAAGAAATACATTGGGGGAATGGGAAAGGCAACAACATGTTGAAAATAAATTTATATTCTTTAACATAATGGTACTGCCATCTAAAATTTATTTCCAACATCTTCCCATTGAAATCGTTTTATTCCTAAATGGTTACATTGAACTTTTTTCAGTAAATTTGTAGGAAAATATGGACCTAATTCTTCACTACCTAAAATTTTTTTGATTTTGTTTTTTTTTTATTGCATAATAAAATTATTAGGGTTTGAAATTGAAATTCGTTTGTATTTTTTAATTACAAATAATTTTCTACTGATATTTTTTTGTAATACTTAAAATAGTCACTTCTCTTTTGAACTATTTCACGTTTCCTTATTTCTGTCACACCCTGTGCATGACAATGTAACTTTATTCGTGGTAATATCTTGGTAAACAAAATTTTTTTTGGAGGTAACAAATAAATGAAACAAAAGTTTTTCCCGCCGGCAGTAATCCATAGTATAATTTTAATTTCATGACATTCCTCAAATTAAATACATTTTTCTTTCTTTTATAATCCAGACATTTTTATTAAATCATGCTCCATTTTTCAGTAAACACAAAATCAGTCATTTTACTATAATCACTTCTGAATTTCAACCTAAAATCCTCATTATACTTACAGTAAGGGTAATATCTGTGCATATCAATCTATGTACTAATTTGCACAAGTTTGCAATTATTTTGTCAATGTGCCACATGCTTAGGCTAATGGTATCATTTTATGTGTCAGTCATACTCATGGAGTGGGTCGCAGCAAAGATTATCGAGCAGGGACATGTGGGAACCGTCCCGAGTAAGTAAAATCCATTGGATCAGGCAATTGCTTAATGTCACTGTAAATCCGTTGCTTTCCTCTGCTCATACTAGCGCATATTGCTTTTTCTACTAATTTTGCACATAATTCATATGTTTGCACAAATACCGCCTAGAAAATGTTTACAATAGGAAAGATCTCTGTGGGTGTATTACAATTTTATAGTTAAAGTTAAATATACATCTTTTAATTTTAGTTTACGATAGTGATTTTTTTTTAATTTTCTGTTATAAAAAATAAAAATTTTTTAGAAAACTGGAAACATATCTATGGTGTTTTACGATAAATTGGCCAAATTTTTTAATTTAGGTGGTCAAAATAGGCAAAAAAGTTCTGTGAACGATTGTTCAGAAATACTTTATTTTTGAGATGCAGAATGTTGATATTTAAAATATAAATGTTTTCCAAATTATTTCTAGAGAAGGGAGACCAGTTATCAGGATCGAAAGTTAATTTGAATTACGGGATAACAAATTTGGATTCAGAGATCCTGAAATAAAGTCCTGATCTCAAAATTTATCTAATGGTACGTAAATTAAAATAAAAATTCATTAATTGGACTAAAGAATGATATGACAGTAGCAGTTGGTGAGAATTAAAGTGGTCATACTTTAATAATGGAACTTGGGATCCATACCATTTTTTAAGGGATAATTTCTGTTTTCATACAGGGTGTACCGAAATTCATGCAACAAAATTAGGTCATAGATTCTTAAGACAAATTTAGGGGACCCGTATTTTTTCTTTTTGCCAACTGGCCCCCTCTTTCGGAGTTACCGCCCCCTGAAATCTGCCCTAAGAAGTCTTTTTTATATTTCAAAACCATGTTGTACAAAAATCACTAAATTTGGTACACAAGGGTTTTATAACATGTGGAATCTCACAGTGCTACGCTTTTTGGCGAGAAACCCCCTTAAAACACTTTTCGTGGGCCCCCTTGTCTTTGGAACCAGAAAAATTAGGTTGCAAATTTGATTTTTTAAAAAATTATTAGTTAGCTAGAAAGCCATAGAATTTAGAAACTTTTTTGTCTCTTGATATTTTTTTCTTAAAACGCAATGTTTTTGAGGAAAATGGCGAATGACGGTATGCATTGGATCACATTTTGACATTTTTCTCGAAAACATTGCGTTTTACGAAAAAAGTATAAAGAAACAAAAAGTTTCTAAATTTAATGGCTTTCTAGTGGACTAATAATTTTTAAGAAATTTAAATATGCGACCAAATTTTTTTGGCTCCAAAGACAAGGGGGCCCACGAAAAATTGTCTTAAGGGGGTTCCCCGCAAAAAAACATACCACCATCAGATTCCACAAGTCATAAAAACCCTGTGTACCAAATTTAGTGATTCTCGTACAACAGGGTTCTGAGATATAAAAAAAAGATTCATCTTAGGGGTGGACTTCAGAGGACTATAACTCCGAAAGACGGGGCCACTTGGCAAAAATAAAAGATACGGATCCCCTAAATTTTATAATGAAAAAATTTCTGATATTGTGAAATAAAAAATTAAGAGATTACTGACCTAGATATCTAGAAAAGGGTTGTTTATACATGCATAGAATATTTGTTTTCATAATCAACTGAATTGTATTTAATTAGACATTTTTTACTTTTTTCAAAATTAGGTTTTGTTCATATAGTTATACTTATTTAAATTTTAATTAGAACTAACATTCCATTTTTTAATTTTCATTCACAGTCTATCGAGGAAAAATCTAACATCTATTTAAATTTTTTTATTTGCAAATTTCATTCGAAATTTTTTCATCATGAAAGTTGTCTATGTGGGACTAAAAATCATCCTCTAAGAAATGGCATAGATCCCATTCTTCATTTTCAAAATACGACCTCTTTGATTTTCACCTGTTGCCACTGACCATAAAGACATTGTAAGAGTGTTGTCACTGCCACTTTAATTTGATCAGATTTTTCAGTTCAGATCATTTCCAAGGTATTTAGAGGGTGTTATCATTTCGAGGGCTTCATAACAAAGGGGCGTATGAATCAAATTACAATTTATAACAGGCGTATGTTCATATGCCTCTATGTGATGTTCGGGAGATGTAAGATGGTTCATACACCTAACATAATAACACCAATAAAATTTTAATTATTGTAAATACCGATACGCCTGACTAAGGAACTATGCTCCACCCTTTTTGTGGCTCATATGCCCGAAAATACAATTTTTGTGATTTAGGTTCATGCACCCCTTTGTTATGATGCCCTTGATTTGATTTGATGTACTTAATAGATAAGAAAGTTAAATACAAACAATTTGATTTTGGAATTATTTTGAGATTTCCTGGATTTTTGGTATCAATTCCAAGATTTGAAACTTCTGGGATTGGTCTCCCTGCTGGAGGTGTTTGATATAAATTGATTAAAATTGAGCAAATTATTTATCTAAACGTAAAAATCGGTATCAATGGCGGCTTGTCAGGTGACGCAAGTGATGCACCGCTTCACCTAAAATTTCTGTTTGGTTGTGCAATTTAAAATTATTTTTAATTTATATACATTTTATAATTTAGGTATAATTCTATATTGAAAATGTATTGTGTTTGTTTGTTTAATACGCACAAATAAATAGAATAGTTATGTGGTGAACGCCTTCTAAAAAGACATTGAACGATAATGATAAATGCGTAATTAATCAGATCTGAAGGTGTTGATCGTAATGCCCCTTGAGTCCTGTAGGCCTACAAACCTCAAAATTTGGGGGCGTCAGCCCTTACTTTAACGGATCTGATAGCGTAACTTATAAACTTAACTATAAACACTTCAATAACAGACCCTGCACTTTTCTTATGAAAAAGTGGTTTCAGTAAAATTGGCTGAAATTTTTATAGGTTACAGGTGTTAACCTGCCGATCCAAAGTCTACATTGGCACAATATCCAAAAGTTCATAGTTTTCGAGTTACGTTGACTTCAGTGGAATAACTGTATTCGAAGGGGTAAAACTGTTATTTAATATTTTTTGCCGTTTGCATTTACATTACCTCCATGTGGTACATCTGTACCACATGGAGGTTGCAAAATCGGTGCAACACCTCTTTGGGATGGCTTTTTTACTGTGACTCAAAAACTACTTGTACGTGTGAAAATGGTTGAGTTTAGCCCTGAATCTTGATTTGGTCACGCCCAGCATTAATATGTGATAGATACATATACATAAAAGAATTAATAAAATATTTAATTTTTTGTGCAGTTTATAGAAATTCAATACGTTTTTATGCCATCAACTAGAACAGTTTTGAATACAGTGAAGTCAACATAACTCGAAACTACAAGCTGTAACATATAAAAATTTCAGCCAATTTAACTATAACCACTTGTACATAAGAAAGTGTGGGGTCCTTTTTTGATTGAAATGTAGTAGGGAAATAATAGGGAAATAGCCTCAAAATTTCTTTATGATTAAAATGTTGATATCATATTTTTCAAAAAATAATACTACAATTTTTTTTGGGAAATAGTTATTTTAGGTATAAAAAATGTTTTGCATAAGATGAGAAATCTGTTTTCTTAAGGAGTAACTGAATTTCCAAAACACCCAGTGTTAAACTTCTAAAGTTCTTAAGATAATGGTGCCGCATGGTATCCACAATAATTGGTTAACACATTTATATCAGAATACAACGGGTTTTTTGTTTTAATTGAGTTGCATTTTGCATCCCTAAAATAAAGTGTTTGTAGACATACTTTAAATTTTTTAAATTTTAACCACCCAAATTCAAATTTTAAGTTTGGGCAATTAATCCTGAAATATCCTGTATATGTATTTGATACAATAAATTTTGAATTGAAATTATAATTTATAAAATCTCATATTGCTAGGTTTTTATTTGACTCCTTTGAGAAAATACATTGTCGAGGATGTCATATATTGTTTTCTGTATTGCATGAATAAAAAATGTATGAAATGCGTGACAGAGGTGGAAGATATGAAGATAAACTTTAAAATTAATAATTCAAAACCGCACCAGTTTTGAAAAATTACTTAAAAATTTGTATCTGTATTTTGCAGGATATTAATGAAATCATAGCATTATGTGCAAGCACTAATTGGCAGGAAAGAAAAGACGGTCTGCTTTCGCTTCAGTACTATCTCAGCAATGAAATTAAATTAACACCAGGAGAATTGAAGCATCTTACCGAGATATTTACAAGAATGTTCATGGACTCGCACACAAAAGGCTTGAGTGTATTCCTAGACACCCTCCATGAAGTAATCAAAATGCACAAACACGAACTGCATTTCTGGATTTACGTGTTACTTCAGAGAGTATTCTTGAAAATAGGTACTGAAACTCTGAACTCGATCCAAAGCAAATTGATGACGACTTTAGATATTACAAAAAATAGTTTTCCTATAAACTTGCTCATCTCGAACGTCTATAGGTTTTTTATAGATGCCACTCAAACACCAAATGCCCGAGTAAAGACTGTAGTTCTCACTTTCTTAACGTCATTGTGTAACAATGCCGATGCAGTCCAATATGTGTCGCAACCTCCTGCCAGTCAGGCGCTACAGAAAATCATTACTTATGCTCAAGACACTAAGTCCGTGGAAATTAGAAATGCTGCAAAAATGTGTATAGTTGCCATGTGGAATTGTAATACTCCTCAAGTCACAATGATGTTAGCCGAGTTGCCAAAAGAACAGCAGGATATCGCTTCGAATGTTGTTCATAGTCATATGAGGAAGAGTTCTACTGGAAGTGAGCCTGGAAGTCCTTTGGTTATGGGAAGTCCAAAACCACTCTCCCCTGGAGCTTCACCTCTTCGTGATGGACTCGATCAAGAAGAAATTTATAGAAGTTTGAGGAAAACTACTGCGGAAATTCAGAACTATAGCTTCGAAACTTTAGGTAAACTCACAATATGTATTTTTCACTACACACTGTCCAATGTTTTAAGAGTTAAAAATGACCTACAAAATACTATCTTTGAATTAGATTGATAAAATAATACAGGAAACAATTTAAGGAAACATTAACATCATAGAGTATTCTTAGTTTTGACCGATTATTACTTTTTGTTACAATGAAACGAAAAATAAACTGTTTGTCATTAAACAGTTAAAATGCTAAAAGTAAAGAAAATTCTTTCATCGTTAATTATTATTAGTGTTTTCAATATGACCTCAAGTGATGACATGTATATGATTTTGTTTTTCTTCTTTAATGACTCCAGTATACAGTGTGGCCACAGATTGAATTGAAAAAGAGGGGAAAACTTTTTTATTTCTCATTTTATGGAGAAATGTAATTCTTAAAATATTCTGATTTTGTTAAAACACAGATATTTTATTTTATTTTCATATACAAAGAAATAATCCTTATACAGGGTGTTTCTTAATAACGTGCTAATATTTAAGGAGGTTATTCTCGAGTCCGTTTTAAGAAAAAAACTTCATATGAACATATGTCCTAAAAGTCTTAACTTTTGAACTACAGGATGCTAAAGTTTTATGAAAAAACATTTTTTTATGATAACTGTTATTACCCTAGATATTTTTTCAAATTTGGTACATGCCTTCTATTCATCGAGATGCATTTTCTGATGTACAAACAATTTTATTATTTTTGCCAGTGGCGTCTGTACAGGTTTTGTATTGAATATTTTTGAAGAAAAATATGTTACGCCACTGCTTTTTCTTAAAGTAAAAATCATTTTTGAAATCCTCATTCCTTTCTGAGCAAATGTGGTGTAACATATTTTTCTTGTCAGTTTTTTATAAGGAAAAAAAAAATTTCAAAAATGGTCGAGAAATTTTCGTTTTTTTTTCGAAAATTGAAAAAAAAAACAGGGAAGATAGGTCCAGATAACTATGTTCTATTTTTTTTCAAAAAGTACATTTAATAACAAAAATTTTGAAAAAAAAAACGTCCCGATAACTCAATTTTTGAAAAAGTTATGGTTATTTAAAAAAGCAATTTTTTTTAAAAATTCAACTTTTTTGAGGGGTGAAAAAATTTGAAAAATTTTCAGAGGTTTTCAATGGGGTAGAAAACAATAAAAAAGTTTCAGCCAAATCGAAAAGGGTCAGGATTAAAAGTGGACGATTTGGCGTGACAAAACTGCAAATCACAAACTGAAGCAAACTGCAAAATTTTGTTAGTATTTTGGCAGACTGACCTAAATGTTCCATATTGATATGTTGAATAATTATTTTGAATTTTTTGTTAAATAGCTATTGTGAAAAATTGTTACTTTCAGGATCTAAGTTAGATAGAGATAGAGATACAACATCTCAAGATTCTGGCATATCCCAAATGTCAATAGGCAATGATATAAAAAATGATATTGGCATTTTGGAAGAAAGGATGGAAGATCTAACGATAAAAACGCAATTTAATATTAGATCTGGCACGAGATCATTGCCTTACACTACTGTAAATGGTATTACTGAGACTGATTCAAATGGTTGTAGAAGTTTAGGTAAGTAAATGAAATTACTAGGTCATTGAATGTACTTTTTTGTTTCATTAAATCAAAATTTTAGGAGAAATAAAAGACTCGGAACATATAATTGCAAGTATAATAGACAACTGTGTAACGGATGTTCCAACACCAAAGGAGGAGAAGAGGAGGTTACTCGGCCTGTTAATAGACCTGATAAAGTCTGGAAACACTGAACACATTAAACAGAACTTCAAGTAAACTGTCTTATAATACATTTAGTACAATTATTCTTATTTCAGTGGTTTTTAGAAAAATCCTTCGTATTCTAATTGATAATCTGAATGAATCCGATACACCTACTCAAGTCACGGTTCTGCAAATTCTTACATCGATTCTTCAGAGCCCAGACCTAAAGCAATGCTGGTGTAATTTTGTCGAATTATTAACTCTACGAGTATTAAAGGCCCACTGTGATGAAAAGAGAGAGGTTAATTAACTTTGTAAACACATCTCGAGAAAGATACAAATAATCATTACCATTTTTTAGGTTGTTAAAGAAGCAGAAGCTACAGCTGCAGCGATGAGCGTTTGCCCGTTTAATACGATCGTAAGTATCCTAGCACCTTTAATTCGGACTAACCCGTATCCATCAATCCTTGGAGCAATTAAAATGTTGACGAAAATGATAGAGACCAATCCAACGGAAGTTTCTGATGAACATCTGATTCAAATAATGCCCGGATTGATAAAGGTTAGTTGAATATTGGACATTTTTAATGCTAGACAAAAATATTATAGAGTTCATTCCCTGAGAGGAACTCATAAAATTAGTTTAAATTGTACAGGGTAAACCAAATTTGATAGGTGATGAAGGAATTTAGAGCATTTTGAAATCTATGCAGGATAGAAAACTGATGTTTGTTTCTTGGTCCCAATCTCTTTTTATTGTAGAAATATAGAGAATTCTCTCAGAAAATGGTTATTTTATCTAAACCATGTATTTTACCAAGTATTGAATCGAAAAACAAGAACATTTTTTTAGGTACCTAAATCATAAGTCATAAGAGCTCGCGTGTCTTTGAGCTTCAAGTAAAATTTACCCCCAAAATCAACGAATTTCAGCACTTTTCGGGGTTTGTTGTAACCTGAGAATATACAGTATGTCCGCGGATTGAGTTTACAAGAGGACAAATGGACCAAAAAGTGAAAGACAGATAAAAATGGCATTCTTGATAAAAGTTTTTACTTGTTTACAAAATATGAATCACCATGATGAACTTCAATTTTTTTTTGTACAGGATGGGTCAAAAACAGAAAAATGTTATTTTGAGTAAAAGTAAACATAGCTTATTTTGCAAGATACGAAAAAAAGGCATTCTTGATAAAAGTTTTTGCTTGGAAAATGAATAAGAGTCACGTTATAAAAAATTTAATTACATATTCTCTAGCACACCTTTAATCAGAGTACCTAGAAATGCTTAATATATTTTTGGGCGACGAACTCGAAAAGTTACCATTAAATTTTTGCCAAAAAAAAATGTATTTTCAACAAGATTGTTATCCAGTACATTCTGCTCGTGAGTTAACAGAGTGGCTTAACCATAGATTTAGTCCAAGATGGATTGGTAGATATAGTCCCAATTTTGTGATCCCCAAGGAGCCCTGTTTAAACGATGGCCAATATGTTTCTATGGGGCCATTTAAAACAAATTGTTTATGCTACTCCAATACCAAATAATATTGAAATGCTAAAAGGCAGAATTACCCAGGCTGTCCGTTCAATATCCCAGGAAGAAATCAGAAATTCCTTCAGATATCTAAGGAAGCAATTAGAAAAATGTGTTCAGTATAGCAGTGGCGTTTTTGAAATTTAAATTTTGTTGTACAGGATCAAAAACACAAAAATGTTGTTTTGCGTAAGAGTAAACATACCTTATTTTGCAAGATACGAAAAAAGGCATTCGTGATAAATGTTTTTGCTTGAAAAATTAATAAGAGTCATGTTATCAAAAATTTAATTTTTTATATAGGGAACAAAGTACAAAATTAAAATACGTTTTATTCAAGTGTAATTTTTAAATAATACCAACATAATTACAACAATTAAGCTAAAAAAAGGTTTTATTCAAGTGTAATTTTTAAATAATACCAACATAANTTAAAAAAGCAATTTTTTTTAAAAATTCAACTTTTTTGAGGGGTGAAAAAATTTGAAAAATTTTCAGAGGTTTTCAATGGGGTAGAAAACAATAAAAAAGTTTCAGCCAAATCGAAAAGGGTCAGGATTAAAAGTGGACGATTTGGCGTGACAAAACTGCAAATCACAAACTGAAGCAAACTGCAAAATTTTGTTAGTATTTTGGCAGACTGACCTAAATGTTCCATATTGATATGTTGAATAATTATTTTGAATTTTTTGTTAAATAGCTATTGTGAAAAATTGTTACTTTCAGGATCTAAGTTAGATAGAGATAGAGATACAACATCTCAAGATTCTGGCATATCCCAAATGTCAATAGGCAATGATATAAAAAATGATATTGGCATTTTGGAAGAAAGGATGGAAGATCTAACGATAAAAACGCAATTTAATATTAGATCTGGCACGAGATCATTGCCTTACACTACTGTAAATGGTATTACTGAGACTGATTCAAATGGTTGTAGAAGTTTAGGTAAGTAAATGAAATTACTAGGTCATTGAATGTACTTTTTTGTTTCATTAAATCAAAATTTTAGGAGAAATAAAAGACTCGGAACATATAATTGCAAGTATAATAGACAACTGTGTAACGGATGTTCCAACACCAAAGGAGGAGAAGAGGAGGTTACTCGGCCTGTTAATAGACCTGATAAAGTCTGGAAACACTGAACACATTAAACAGAACTTCAAGTAAACTGTCTTATAATACATTTAGTACAATTATTCTTATTTCAGTGGTTTTTAGAAAAATCCTTCGTATTCTAATTGATAATCTGAATGAATCCGATACACCTACTCAAGTCACGGTTCTGCAAATTCTTACATCGATTCTTCAGAGCCCAGACCTAAAGCAATGCTGGTGTAATTTTGTCGAATTATTAACTCTACGAGTATTAAAGGCCCACTGTGATGAAAAGAGAGAGGTTAATTAACTTTGTAAACACATCTCGAGAAAGATACAAATAATCATTACCATTTTTTAGGTTGTTAAAGAAGCAGAAGCTACAGCTGCAGCGATGAGCGTTTGCCCGTTTAATACGATCGTAAGTATCCTAGCACCTTTAATTCGGACTAACCCGTATCCATCAATCCTTGGAGCAATTAAAATGTTGACGAAAATGATAGAGACCAATCCAACGGAAGTTTCTGATGAACATCTGATTCAAATAATGCCCGGATTGATAAAGGTTAGTTGAATATTGGACATTTTTAATGCTAGACAAAAATATTATAGAGTTCATTCCCTGAGAGGAACTCATAAAATTAGTTTAAATTGTACAGGGTAAACCAAATTTGATAGGTGATGAAGGAATTTAGAGCATTTTGAAATCTATGCAGGATAGAAAACTGATGTTTGTTTCTTGGTCCCAATCTCTTTTTATTGTAGAAATATAGAGAATTCTCTCAGAAAATGGTTATTTTATCTAAACCATGTATTTTACCAAGTATTGAATCGAAAAACAAGAACATTTTTTTAGGTACCTAAATCATAAGTCATAAGAGCTCGCGTGTCTTTGAGCTTCAAGTAAAATTTACCCCCAAAATCAACGAATTTCAGCACTTTTCGGGGTTTGTTGTAACCTGAGAATATACAGTATGTCCGCGGATTGAGTTTACAAGAGGACAAATGGACCAAAAAGTGAAAGACAGATAAAAATGGCATTCTTGATAAAAGTTTTTACTTGTTTACAAAATATGAATCACCATGATGAACTTCAATTTTTTTTTGTACAGGATGGGTCAAAAACAGAAAAATTTTATTTTGAGTAAGAGTAAACATAGCTTATTTTGCAAGATACAAAAAAAGGCATTCTTGATCAAAGTTTTTGCTTGGAAAATGAATTAGAGTCACGTTATAAAAAATTTAATTACATATTCTCTAGCACACCTCTAATCAGAGTACTTAGAAATGCTTGATACATTTTTGGGCGACGAACTTGAAAAGTTACCATTAAATTTTCGCCAAAAAAAAAATGTATTTTCAACAAGATTGTTATCCAGCACATTGTGCTCGTGAGATAACAGAGTGGCTTAACCATAGATTTAGGCCCGTATTCATAGTCAATCCCTCAAGCTGAGTGCTGAGAGCGACTTGCTTAAGGGTCCCTCAATACTCACACTTCCACTTGTGTCATAAACAACACTCGATCGTCCCTTAGGTGAGATCGCGAGATGCTGAATTTGTGTTGGCAACATTTACGAATCCAGCCGATTTGATTGGTTGTGGTACTGACCATGCGCCCGCATAGCCAAAGGTAGCGCGATGTACAAATTTTGAAGCTGCATGCTGCATTACCTATTGCAATTTTGTCGTATTCAGTGTTTTACCAGTGTGATATTTTTATATTTAAAAATGGATAAAATTGTGTTCAGCGAACAAGAGAAACTATTTTTAGTGCAATTAGTTACCAATGAAAAAGACATTTTAGAAAATAAAAAAACCGATGGGGCCACTTTAAAATTAAAAAATGAAGTATGGGAGAGAATTACTTCAATGTTTAATAGTCAGGGGTTCTCAAAACGTTCCTCTAAACAATTGAGAAAGTGCTGGGAAAATATAAAACAGAGGTACGTTGGACATAAAATATTTTAAATACTGTATATCAAAAAATATTCTCCTTAGAAAACGAAAGTTGAATACCACCATAAGACAGCAGCAACTTATGACAGGCGGTGGTCCCTCCATAAAAATAAAGGACGATCCTGTCATGGATTTTGTGGATGGAGCTGCTCCAAATTTAGATGTAGAAATAAATTGTTCCTGGGACAGTACAGCGGTGTATGAACAAAAATGTGTGTTATTTATTACATTACAGATATATTATATAAATAAATATGCTAAAAAACATATTTTTACAGGTTCTACAAAAACAGATGTATCTACTCCAAGTACGAGTAAGGCAGTAGTGGTAGCATCGGAAATAGCTAGTACTTCAAATGTACCTGGACCTGCGGTATATGAACAAAAATGTGTGTTGTTTCCGATATTAAACAAATTTCTGCTAAATTACATTTTTTACAGATTCTTCAAATACAGATACAGCTACTCCAAGTACAGCTGCCAGGACTGTAGCGGTAGCACCGGAGCCGGCAAGTAAGAATGTACCTGAATCCGCAACATTATGCCTGAAAAAAAGAAAATTGATTCATCTGGATTTAGATAGTTGTGATGAACGCGAGCTCCGTGTAAAAAAAATTAAGGAGAGTATATCACAACAGCGGGAGCTTCACACACAACGTATGAAAACAGCAAAAATGGAGTACTTGTTGGCTGTCCTTAAGGTGAAACAGCAATTAAACGAAATGGGGGAAGAACTTAACGTAGAGGAAACAGACTTTGATACCTTTGATCCAAAAGATATATTGTAAAATACGTTTACTCGGCTGCATTTACAAATAAACAAAAATGTTTTTAATTTTTTATTTTATTTTTTAATGATTGTTCTGAATATGAATGTGTATTTTGAACTACAGTCCTTACTAGTTTTATTTTATCATTATTCATTGTAAACACAAAATTAAAAATGTAAATACCTATAGGTACAACAAAGTATAATTTAAATAAATTAGGTACAGATTTGCTTAAACAGCACAGTTTGTATAGAATAATTTTTATTTATGGCAGGTTTTTCCAGAGCATTATTATGCAGTCTATATAAAATTACTTATTTATGACTGGTTTTTCAGAGTATTATTATGCAGATATTATTTTGCCTTATTAGGGTGAGAGTAGGTAAATTTTGTATTATTCATTTCAAAACTATNACATAATTACAACAATTAAGCTAAAAAAAGGTTTTATTCAAGTGTAATTTTTAAATAATACCAACATAATTACAACAATTAAGCTAAAAAAAGGTAAACAAAACAATATGATGGAGATATCAAATTTCAAAAACGCCACTGCCATATTGAACACATTTTTCTAATCGCTTCCTTAGATATCTGAAGGAATTTCTGATTTCTTCCTGGGATATTGAACGGACAGCCTGGGTAATTCTGCCTTTTAGCATTTCAATATTATTTAGTATTGGAGTAGCATAAACAATTTGTTTTAAATGGCCCCATAGAAACATATTGGCCATGATTTAATCAGGGCTCCTTGGGGATCACAAAATTGGGACTACATCTACCAATCCATCTTGGACCAAATCTATGGTTAAGCCACTCTGTTATCTCACCAGCACAATGTGCTGGATAACAATCTTGTTGAAAATACATTTTTTTTTTGGCGAAAATTTTATGGTAAATTTTCGAGTTCATCGCCCAAAAATGTATCAAGCATTTCTAGGTACTTTGATTAGAGGTGTGCTAAAGAATATGTAATTAAATTTTTTATAACGTGACTCTTATTAATTTTCCAAGCAAAAACTTTTATCAAGAATGCCTTTTTTCCTATCTCACTTGTTAGTCCATTTGTCCTCTTGTAAACTCAATCCGCAGACATACTGTGTATAAAAAGTAATGTAAATGTGTACTGTTCGATGTTTGAGATAAAATGGAACGGCAAAAATTGTATCTTGATAGGTCTAAAGAATGTAAGGTGTCTTAATTTTTCATTTATAACTTTTTTTTTAATTTTTGTGTTTTTGTGTGTGGAATCCAGGAAATATCTTATAATTTCTAATTTTCTAGTTAAAATCCATACATATTTTCTTAAATAAACAGTCCTATACATACGTTTTTTTTTTTTAATTTTTGAAGCCATTAAGATTTCCAAATATCAGACAAAAATTATTTCTTCATAAATCAGTTACTTTTCAATGTAATTAAATATGTCTAAATGGATTTGAGGTATTAATAAAGAAACACATGTAAATCTGGTTATAATGAAGAGGGACATAGCTATAGTATTTTTTTAAATAATTATTTATTTTCACGTTTAGGGAATGGTATGACATAACACCAGTTGTCAAATGCGAGTTCTGTCACAAATCAATGAAATTTGCTAAAAAAATCAAATTTAAACTTTCTCCGGACTATACGTTTGCCATTTTTTTCTCGTATACGAATTGTGAATTTTGTCCTAATATGACTGATTTACACCAAACTGTATTATAAAAGTAAATTTTAAATTATGTATTATTTGAAAGAAAATTGTATGCATTTTCATAAACTGAAAAATATTTAATAACTAGAAGTTATTAATTATCTTTCTATAACTAGAAGTTATAGAAAGATACCACATGTGGATTCTTGACAAAAAAAAATTAAAAATTCCTGAAAAAAATGTGATACTGCTATTTAATTTTTCGCAGTAATCAATCGAGATTGACTTTTGGTGTCGAAGAAAATAAAAATTTGATCATATAAGAAATCTCTCAAAACATGTTGAAAACATCGCACCCTGTACATTTTAGAATGGTAGTAATAAAACACTCGTTAATTTTGTACTTCTTGTTCTTTAAGGAGGTTCGATAGAACTCTTGTGGGGCAGGGCGTACGGGAGGGAAGCCTATGCTTATACACGGGAGTTTCGTTGTAGTACCAACCTTACATAAACTAATTTGAGCAAACTAAATATAATATATGCGAATGAAATTTATACAACACATATTAGCTCACATATATTTTTCGTGTTTAATGCAATTAACTTTTTATTTGAATGAAAGTGTCTATTTATTCATTAAGAGCTAGTAAAATTATGGGTGATGTCTGGCAACATTGCACATCAGTATGGCGTGGTGGTAAAGTGGGGTCACTGTCAACGTCAACTGTGCTTAGCCCATATACCGTAAACATGAATGAAGATCCAAGATACAAAGGAAAAGTAATGACTGAAAAGCAGTATAAAATGCGTATGAAACAGAATGTAGATTGATGAGAAAAAAGTAAAATGAGCAAACCGAGAATTCATATGATAACTATCAAGAAGCTCAATGTATGGTAGTGAGACCTCGCCTTGTCAAATTGAAGATTATGACAGAACAAACTGGTCGTTTTGTAAAGAGATCCTTTCAACTTTTGTTTCAAATTGCTATTATATTGAATTAGATCACGAAAAATTTATTTAATATTAATTATTACTCCATATGTTTTTGACTGGAATAATTTTATAGTTTATAATTGAGCTATTCAAATATAGCGCGTCAGTTGAAGCGTTAAATAAAGCATACAGCGTTGCCATATTTCCTTTCATTGGATCAGATGTTTGTTGCAATTTGTCAAAACATTATCTATTCATTCCATTATCTCAATAATTACATTGTAAGTGCATATTTTTATTGACTTAAAATGTTTAGCAATATTTAATTCTTTAATTACAATTTTATTTTCCCGATCCTAACCATTTTTAAGAGCAATATTCACGTTTGATTAAAGTTTTTTCCCAACTCCCATAAGAGTCTGTGCATAATTTTTAATATCATTTTTACAAAAAAAAACTACATTGGCAATCGATCTGATATTTTTACACGAGACAGTTTGCATATTTTTTAACAGATTTCAATTGCTTTGAAAACTTTCTCACCATTTTTTTTTCAGTATCGAACCTCCTTAATATATGTTCTTTGTTAGATGTTGATTAAGTTTTCAGATATAAATGTATTACAGTATAATCTCTATAATCCGGCACTTCACTACACCGGCACGTCCAGTAATCCGGCGTTATTTTGTTTCTTTACTATTCTTGAAGAATACAGTTTATACAGTTATAGTTTAGTTGAAAGATTATTTTACAGAAACGTAAAAAAATTACAATATACATATATATGCATACACAACTGTAATATGTATGTATCTATGTACCAATCTCTTTGTTAATAAACAATTAAAAGTAACGTTTTTTTATTTTAATACTGTTTATATATATATTTTCCATTAATACGAATTTTTCAGTACTCCGGCACTCTTAGGTTTTTAATGGTGCCAGATTAGTGAGATTGTACTGTACAGTTAACCGCTATTCATTATTTATCAAAAAAATGTATTTATATGTTAATTTAAATAACNCAAAACATTATCTATTCATTCCATTATCTCAATAATTACATTGTAAGTGCATATTTTTATTGTGTTAAAATGTTTAGTAATATTTAATTCTTTAATTACAATTTTATTTTCCCGATCCTAACCATTTTTAAGAGCAATATTCACGTTTGATTAAAGTTTTTTCCCAACTCCCATAAGAGCCTGTGCATAATTTTTAATATCATTTTTACAAAAAAAACTACATTGGCAATTGATCTGATATTTTTACACGAGACAGTTTGCATATTTTTTAACAGATTTCAATTGCTTTGAAAACTTTCTCACCATTTCTTTTTCAGTATCGAACCTCCTTAATATATGTTCATTGTTAGATGTTGATTAAGTTTTCAGATATAAAATTATTACAGTATAATCTCTATAATCGGGCACTTCACTACACCGGCACGTCCAGTAATCCGGCGTTATTTTGTTTCTTTACTATTCTTGAATACAGTTTATACAGTTATAGTTTAGTTGAAAGATTATTTTACAGAAACATATAAACATTACAATATACATATATATGCATACACAACTGTAATATGTATGTATCTCTTTGTTAATAAACAATTAAAAGTAACGTTTTTTAATTTAATACTGTTTACATATATATTTTCCATTAATCCGAATTTTCCAGTACTCCGGCACTCTTAGGTTTTTAATGGTGCCGGATTAGTGAGATTGTACTGTACAGTTAACCGCTATTCATTATTTATCAAGAAAATGTATTTATATGTTAATTTAAATAACGGGCTTTATGCTTTAGGGTACAGATCACCATGAGAGTCCCGTACGAAAGAGTTCCATATTTTGCATGGTAGCATTATATAAGGCTGTGGGTGAAGAAAGACTTTCTACTTATATTAACCACCTCTCTGGAAGTAAAGTTAAGTTATTAAGGTTGTATATTAGTAGGTCAGAACAAAATACGTCAGTACCGACAAGTCCAAAAAATAACATTAGCTAGTCCTCGATGAAAAATAAGTAAATAATCTTCCAACTACAGAATATTCTGTACCATAATATCACTAATATCAAATATATTTTGATTTTGTTTTTTTTTTGAGTATTCTGAATTTAATGCTATTTTGATATAATTTTGCTTGTAATAACTAATTAACTGTAATTTTAAGTTTTTACTGATAGGAATACTTAACACTTATTACTAGCTTTGATTTTACATTTTATAATGTTATAGTTATAAGATTACGATAAAAATGTTTCTTCTTGTTATTCATCACATTTTTAATTCTTACGATATTAACTAATTTATTATATTTAACATTTTATTGTTTTTTATTATTACTTATTGAATTCTGTATATAATTTATGTAATACTTATTGCATTTTCTACTAAATTTTACACCATTTTAAAGCTCTTATTACTTTGTGCCATTTCATATGGAAAAAAATGATCAGCAAATGGAAAGGATACAAAAACTTTTATTAAACACTGAATTTGTCAAGAGTTTAATTGGTATTTTAATTTTTTTAATTGTAACAATAAATTTATTGTCTGCGTAAAGTATGTTAATTCTCAGTTATATATTTTTTCCATATTTTTTTATAATTAATGAATAGTGAATTTTATTAAAGTCAGTAGTAATAAAGGCCAAAATTGGCGACAAATGTCTAATTTTAAAATTAAATGTTTTTTTAATACAATTTTCTTCAATTTTAATTCAAACAATGATTTCATTAAATAATCACGTTATGCAGAAAACCCTTTTACCTCCAAAAGGAAACATTTTATAATAAAAAAATATTTATACACTATACTAAAACTGGTCACACAAATGCCACGAAGAAAGTAAAAAATACGAATTTTTCATGTGCTAAAAAATGTTGAAGTTGAATAGACAAATATTTTAGCTTGTCACATTCACTATTTCGACAATAATCCAATTGTTGCATATTTTTTCAATGTGCTGATCATACAGATTACAAATTTTCCAATAATATAGTTACACATGTTTATGTATCCATCAGAGAGCAAGAAAAATTGTTTTGTGTAATTTCTTGATTTTTTTTTATATTTTTCTTCACTTCAAAACTTTGTTTAATGTGTATATGTCAAAATTAAATTTACAAATATTGTTTGGTAAATCCTCCTGGAAAATGTAAGTAAATATATGAAGTATTTGTAAATTTTTGGAAAAAGTTTTTAAATTCTTGTATCATACATATTCCGAAAAAATTGATTATTGATCTTCTTGATGCTGTCCAAAAATAGTGTTTTAATTGTATCAATATATAAAAATTGTCTTCTTTTAATTTAAATAAGTAAATGGCGGAAATTGTTTGAAAGTTTTGGCCTACGGTCTGTGTTTTTGATTTCTTCACAAAATAAAGGAAATTTTGTCAAGGCCTCTCCTAGTCAGGCATTTTTTTTTGGGTTAATATTCGTGTGATGGTTATTAGTTATTTAAATGTAAATACTTTGATTTTTTAAAGTTTTGTATTTATAAGTGGTGATTATTTGTAAATTACTATGTTAAACTTGATTAATTTCTATGTGTCTGTTGAAAGAACTTAAGTATGTGACAGTTTGTAATCAGTTTTGTTATCAACCGTAAATCTTTAATGTTGTGATTGATGGAATTTCTAATACTACTACGTGCACAGTTTCGGCAATTTTTCGACATAGTAATAGTTTTACAAATAACAGAATCTACAGCAGGTTTTTTATAGAAAATTTAAAATAGCTTAAAAATGATATTTTATATGCCAAATATAATGTATTGAGACAATGTGCTATATTATTACATTTTTTAAAAATTGATATAGTTTGTATATACTGTAGCTGTAATTAGAATATTAATGCTATACTTATATCACATCCCTGTTACAGAGCTTTTCCAGTATAAGTTATTTTTTGCTGTTTCTAATTACCTGCCGTTTATGTAATTAATAAATACTGTAATATGACACATAACTGTTTATTCAACCTTATTCCCGTGTAGTTTATACAGGGTGTCTCACGGTGACGGCCCATTAGAATTATTTCACAGACTACTTCGATTTGAATTGTGAAAATTAGGGATACCGGGTTTTCCGGCATGCCCTTCTCAACTAAAATAATGGCGTCCACGTACCGTTTCCGGTTATACCGGAAGCCGCCATCAACTTGCTTATTTTAAATGGAACACCCTATATATTTTTGCAATTTTGGATTCTACGTGTTATTTTAGGTGGACTTTTATGAAGTCTCCCTATTCCTAAAATTAACCGTTTTCGAGATATTTAATTTTTTTTCAAAAAAATGGAGAGAAAGGGTGACTAGCTTCAAACCATGTGTATTTTATAGTAAGAAAGATAAAACAACAATATTTATAGGGGGGATAGTTAGACCCCTAAGCTTCCCATCCATACTTTCAAAGTGACTTACTTGCATACAGGGTGCTATAAATTTAATGCCGAGTTTAGTTAACTTCAGACCTTCATAAGTCCGTTTTTTTAAATGGAACACCCTGTATGTTTTTCTATATTATGATACGCAACTTTATTCTCATTTGAACGGTATCAGGGTTCCCTATACTTATCTCTTCTAGTTTTTAAGTTATCTACTATTTTTTGTGTAATCACCTAAATCAGGTAATTTCTTACGAGGATAACTGTGGAATTTTTAGCAAACCTTCAAAACAAACAACTAAACTGTCACCAGTTATTTATTATTATTTATTTGCACTTTGCAGTGGGATTCTAAGCAGAACATTTACAGTTTTTAATGAGACACATCCCAATTTTCCTCCAATGAGCACAATAAAGTTAAGAAGATTTCTAAAAAATCAACTTCATACATAGTAATACACAGTTTTAATTATGTATGTTAATAATAATGCACTAAGAAAAAAAAAATTATTTAAAAAAGTCATGTTCAATATGACCCTCATTAACAGCTAAGTACTTGTGGATTCTTTAGCTTTTGCTATTTCAGCTGCAGGCAATTCATTGAACGCTCTTCGTACTCGAGCAATCTCTTTTGAAGCAACGGGTGTAAAATAAACTTTTTGCTTTATTACTCCTCAAACATAAAAATCTAATGGAAGTGAGGTTGGGAGATCTCACTGGCCAATTCCACGGTTCTAGACGTCTCATCCGTCTATCTCCAAACATTTCAGTCAGCTATTGATCTATTTGATTGTGACAGTGAGGTGGAGCCCTGTCTAATTGATACCAACACTTCTTTAGTTGTTCTAAAGGTATATCGTCAAGAAAATCTGCCACAACCGGTTGCAAAATATTGAGATATTTGTCGGCATTTAAAGAGCGACCGAAAAAAGCCTAATGTTTCGCCCCTTTGTGAGACCTCGTAAATTTACTCCAAATGTGTGCCAAAAGATAGTCTATGATGAGACTTGAATCGTCTATAAGTTTTAGCTTTAGGCTACATTTCGTTTTCGAGTTTCGGTTCATTAAAGTTGTCATTTTTACATGGATTGTTGGATCGAGGTTACACCGCTAAAAAAAAATCGCTTGTACTTCACATGTGGCATATGTATTCCGAAGTACTTTTTTGCGCTGAGCACGAATTTGCTATTAGAATTGCTTCATCACCCTTCGGTCTTCATAAAATGACTGAAAAGCTTCAGAAAAATGAAGAATTTCGAAGATAGGTTAGGAATTTGTGATTAATACACATTTTTTTTTTCATGGTTTCGTTATTAATCCCTCAATTGATTCTTGAATCTGACGTGATACAGGTCAACCAACTAGTGAATTGAAATTAGAGACTTACATACTTCCTTCAAATTGGCGATATATCTTGCTCATATAACATAATAAACTAACAATCCAAGATTAATTCTTTGACTTCCAAATGACCTGTAGTCATAGAGATTAACGAACCTTTGATTTTAAATCAATGATTTCGTCAACCTTTCTGGGAAGACCTTTCCCAGAATCTGAAGTCATAGAGATTAACGAATCTTTGATTTTAAATCAGCGACTTTGAAAACCCTATAACAATCCATGTAAAAATGACAACTTTAATCAACCGTAACTTGAAAACAAAATGCAGCCTCAAGCTAAAACTTAGACAATTCAAGTCTCATCACAGACTATCTTTTGGTACACATTTGGAGTAAATTTATGAGGTCTCACAAAGGTGCGAAAATTTTGGTCGCTTTTCTTCGTACCAAGAAATTTGGTTATCTTAGACAAAAACATTTACACTAAATTTATTTTGAAAGTTTCTTTCCCATATAACATGAGGATTTTCAGATGACCACAAATGAGTTTTATGTCTATTAAAAATACCTTCTCTCGTAAATTTTGACTCGTTTGTCCATATAATATGTTGCAAAAGTTGTGGATCTTGGTATTGTACTAACATCGTTTCACAAAATTGTACACGTTGCACGGCGTCGCCCGGATGAAGAGCAGAAAGTAGGTTAAATTTGTGTGGATACATATTAGTTCTTAACATCCTGTGAATAGATGCTTGTGAAATGAAATGCCTAAATCACACTCTGCGGCACGAGTTGAGGATTCTGGATGAACATTAAAATAGGCTAGCACATTTATTACATTATCTTCATTTGAAGTTATTGGTTTTGGTAAAATTCTTTCTGCACAAATTCGACCATACTCTAGTTCATTTGCTAAAATTCTTAACTTTTTTCTGCTCATTGGTGGCAAATTTGGATATGTCTCATAAAAAAATGTACATGTTCTGCTTATAATCCCATCGTAACGTCCGTGAATGAATAATAAATTTAAAATATCAGCATTTGAATATGTATTGTTTTCCATTTCTTATAAACACTAAATTAAACTATTACTGCGAGAGACTAATAACAAATTGACAGTTTAGTTGTTTGTTTTGAAGTTTTGCTAAATATTTCACAGTTATCCTCGCAATAAATTGCATGATTTTAGGTGATTACATAAAAAATAGTAGATAACTTAAAAACTAGAAGAGATAGGTATAGGGAACCCTGATATCGTTCGAAAGAGAATAAAATTGTGTATCAGAATATAGAAAAACGTACAGGGTGTTCCATTTAAAAAAACAGACTTATGAAGGTTTGAAGTTAACTAAACTCGGTATTAAATTTCTAGCACCCTGTATGCAATTAAGCCACTTTGAAAGTATGGATTGTTGCTTTATCTTTCTTACTATAAAATACAGATGGTTTGAAGCTAGTCACTGTTTCTCTCAATTTTTTGAAAAAAATTAAATATCTCGAAAACGGTAAATTTAGGAATAGGGAAACTTCATAAAAGTCCACCTAAAATAACACGTAGAATCCAAAATTGCAATAATGTATAGGGTGTTCCATTTAAATTAAGCAAGTTGATGACAACTTCCGGTATAACCGAAAGCGGTACGTGGACGCCATTATTTGAGTGGAGAAGGGCATGCCCGTAAACCGAAGATAACAAAAAAAATAGAGCCACGTGATTTCCTTAACTTCTAAGTGACCTCGACCAAAAAATAGTATTAACTTATTGGTGTTTTGCCCTTTAATTAGATTTGAGTTAACTATTAATTTATATATTTTAACATAACTTTAATTAATTAGTCATTTACAATTCTTTGTCCATTTTAAATATTAAAATTCACGGCAGTGAGTTGTAAGTTTGTTCAGAAGACCCGTGCGACAATCAAGTCGCTATTTGCTCGTGCTTTTGTGGTTTACTTGCCATTGGATGCCAACTCCAGTTACAGGTAAGTGTCTAACTTCACCATCACTTTTTGATTATTATATTTTCCCAAACTCATACCTAATACAGTCCACAAACGCAACATTTTTTTTTTATCCTTCGAGCCGGATTTCTACCAAATTTTCATACCTAATACAGTCCACAAATGCAACTATACAGGGTGTCCCACCACAAACTCCATCGATGGATATCTGGGAAAGCGCTCGACATATTTTTTGAAATTGTGATGGTGTAATACATTGGTGTGGTCAAAAAACTACTAACCACCCATGCAAAACGTCTAAAAAAGTATTCAGGGTGTTTCAGTTCGAGTGAATCAAACTTTAGCCACAAAGAGAACTCGATAAATAATTCAGAATTGCCTTATAAAGCAAGGGTCTAAGTGTCACCGTTTTCACTGTACAGGGCCGTATTGGCCAGTTGTTAAAATCATATTTACGAAATCTTTGGTATGCTTATAACAAATTCATTCAAATTTGGTGTGGTGTTAACATTTGCACATATGCATAATTTACTGTAAGATTTACAAATTTTTGTATGTCAGTGGCATAGGAAGGAGTAGTAAAGCGGGATTTCTTTACCCAAACTTCTACGCCAATCACCTAATTGGGACTCATTTTTGGATTCCGAGGACAATTCTACATAAAAAAAGGTATACACGTTGAAAATAGGGAGTGTATTGTTTTACCAAAAATCTCAGCTGAATGAGAGACCGTTCTTCTGATAAGACTTGAATGTATATCCATTTTTTTCAAACACTAATATTTCAAATCTTAAAAATAAAATCACAGTTCCTAATGACAGATAAGTCCTACTATTGCTTAGTTTTTTTTCATGGCAATCATTAGTACGGATAGTGTAATAGATGCACAGCGCAGATTTAAAATTAATATGTAGTTGTAATTTTTTAAAGAAATTATATCTGTTTACAGACATAAACAAACGGACCGTTGAATGAGCAAGGATACCTATAATTGCTTCTTTTTAGTTTTGCGAGTTATATCGGTTCTATAATTTTCCATTTAAAACCCAACTCAGTATATGTACATATTTGCAAAATAATTTCTTAATCAACTGATGTATTTATTTTCATTTTTCTTAAAATTCTAATTATTTATAAAGTAAAAACACCTAAATGTATGTCAGTTGATTATGAGAAAAAATATTTTGTACATAAACATGCAACCCTTTTTAAGGTCCTAGAGGAGACTTTATTTTTAATTTTGTTCGAAATTTTTTCATCATGAAAGTTCTTTTAGTGGGCTCAAAAATCATCTGAAACATGGTATGACGTGTTCATAAAAAAAATAACTACTAAGGACTTAAAATACAAAAATAAAACATTGTATTCTGCATTTTTTAATACTAAAATAGAACACTAAAAATACATAAAAATACTTATAGAAAATGTAGGCTAGATTGTACTTGAATTTAATCTAAGACATAAATTAAAAACCTAAAAACATAAACATTATGCATATTAAGAAACTACAAAGGGTGTTGAAATAATCACAGAATGCATCAAATAAAAGAGAATGGGAAGTAGAAAAAAATTTACGATTAAACTGTTTTATTATAAAAATATGCTGAGGATTTTTATTAGTGTTTTCAATGAGGTTAAAAAATTTTTTAATCATTTTAAAAAATAAAACATTTTTTTCACTATTTTCAGCAGTACAATAAAATGTTTTAACATTTTTTAATTAATAAAAATATGTTTCTGGTAGGTATTTTGAAGTATTATGTAATTAAATGAAAAGACTTTATTCCGTCACTGCTTTAATAGCAAAATTGTTTTGATGAATTTAATCAGAATCTAATTGATCATTATAACATACATCTTTACGGGCACGCAATCGACTTCCTCGTGTCAAATCAGACGAATCGCTTTTCACATTTGTAAGAGGGGCAAGATTTTTACTTTTAACATTCTTTTTATTTACTACTCTTTCTGTTTTCTTTAAAACAAGTTCTTTCATACTATCAGTGTAACCTTCCATATTATCGTCTATAACTGGTATTTTATTATCCTTTCTACCCTTTGACTTTCCATTCTTCAACTTTTTCAATACTACTTCCTTCATTGCTTCAGTGTAACCTTCATATGGATCTGCTGTCCCATTTTCCTCTGCATCACTATCCTTTTTTGAGGCTTCAGTCTTATTTCTCTTTAAAGGTTTTTTATTTTTTAAAACTTCCATTTCACCGCTTATTTTATTTTCATCTGCTGTCTTCTTGGGCAGTTCATCACCCTTTCCTTTTCTTCCTCTTTTCTTCCTGTCCACTTCTTCATCACTCGCTTCTATTATGTCTTCATCATCTATATCTGATTGTGAGATTTTCTCATTAGGATTTTCTACTTCTTTAGATTTTTCCTCATTATCACTATCCTCTTTACAATTTTCCATTTCATCTTCTACATCTTTTTCCGGTTTTCTACCCCTTCTGATTTTTCTTTTTGGTGATACGCTGTCCTTGCGGTCTCCTTTTCTCTTCTGTATTTTTTTCTGAGATACATGGAATGTTAAGGGGTCATTTTCTGATCCTCCGGCATCTTTAATACCAGATATAAATATTTTACGGATTTTTTTGTAGTCGGGCTCAGTATTAAATTTTAGAGTTTTTAAATAGTTTAGATAGTCCACTATAGCACCTGCAAAGAACCTTATTTATTTTAACCAAAAATATATACTATTTATTTTACCTGGTGGGGTTTTATGCCCAAAACAAGCTTTTATCATCTTAGGAACATTATCCATGTATGCCTCCTTGCTTTTATGCACTTCATTTGGATCTTTCAAATTACTTTCCCAGGGCAAGGTACAACCTAACCACTGTATTAAATTATAAGCAAGGATTTCTAAGTCCCCTCTTCTTGTTTGCACTGCAACAACAAAAAAAAACATATTTCCACGATAGTAAAAACAAAATAAAATGTACAAGATATTAATATAACACAAACAATTGCTATGATTTTTTTAGAAGCAATTTTTGAAAAATTGTATTGCTTTTTATCAAATCTAATAACACCAAGTTGTACTACACCCCTCAGAACGCTCGTCTATCAATTGTTGGGTTTTATATTTACATATAAAATTTTAAAATGTAACAATTTACGGCAGGTACATATATTTTTTTTTAAAGATATTTTCAATAATTTTTCCCATTTAATTTAATTTCAAGTACAATTTGGATTTTCATAGGAAAAAATCGCTAATATAATATATAAATAAAAATCATAACATTCATAGTGCTGCTGCATTTAAAGTCTCGAGTGATTTCAAATGTTCGAGAGAACCTAAAGACCCTCCACATGAAGTGGAAGGTTCAAAGCGGAAAAAAAAATTTCCACCAAAAATATCCTAGAAAACCTTCAATGAAGCTCTCCCCCCTCCCCCCTAATTACCAAAGCCATAGAAGATGATACCGATGCTAGTGGCAGAATGACCGCCGACAATGTACAGGATATGCCAAGAAACCACCACAGTTCTGTATTTTGGGAAATACATTAAAATTCGCACTGAGGCAGGGCAACACAAATATGAACTACCATACCAAACCACAGGTCAACAATTCATACAAATCAAGCAGAATCGAAAGATAGATGGATGGATGCAAGATGTCCAGATCTATGTCGGAGACTGCTGCAGGACTTCTACAGAGCCATCATAGGTGGTGTTCGAATGTCAACTCTGGTACTTTATACAGTAACTTGTTAATCAAAAACTGATACCTGGCCAGTATGTGTAGTATTCTCCAATTTGTTAATGTGTGCATTGTATAAAACCCTTTGCAAATCATAAAATCATTTATTGTTTATTTTTTCACAATTCAAAACATTGTCGAAAGTTATCAAATCTCTTTGTTTGTTTTGAGCCTGTGACGAAGATCACAAGTGATATATCAAACCCCAAGTAGCTTCCAAACAAGGTACTCTAAGGAGATCTCAAAGAAATCAAGTTCCAATTAGCTTCCAAATCTAGGTACTCCCAGGAGACCTCAAACCAGTGCTTAGGTGAAGCAAAGCCTACAAAAACGTTCATATAGACACTAAAGCCTACTCATAATCAAAGTGTCAAAAATATATTAGGATAAAAAGTTAATTTAAAAGCTTCTGAAATCAGTACCACACTGAGGGTGTATCTAGTGTGGTTAAAGGTGAATAAGTTAGAGAGTGGACCAAACTCTTAGGCAGAATATTTCACCACCGGCAGACAGACCAGTGTGGCATACTCTTTATCCATGCACCTGTTGAGGTTGTGCGATGAGGAAGACATCTGATAATCTCGTTTACCTCTTTGCAAGTGAGCAGAAGACAAAAGGTTACTCAGGACCGAAAGAACAAGTGAAACAGAAACAGATGTTTCAGGGATATTTTTCTAAGGACAGCATAATCAAAAATGATTAACGGGTATCAGTTATCAAAAAAATAATTTTCAGGAACTTTGAGACCATATAACTGCCAAAACTGTAAAGGCAAATACACGATCAATACCAGGATTCTGATAATATACAATTTCAGCTTAAATTCATCAATAATGAGACATTTGTATACAATGAAACCCAATGTATTGTAGACATACATTTAAATGATTATTTCTGGTATTACCATATACATAATATGTATAAATATATGGGACGTTCTTTGTCAAACGGAACAAAGCTCCGCCCAAAATTTGAGCAAATTTTAATGATCTTGGGCTTAAAATGGTCGTTATTGAACCCTCTTCATGGACCAGTGTGGCCTTTTCAAAAAATTCAAAATGGCGGCTCAATATGGCTGCCAGAAATCAGGGAAAATTCAAGGCTTTGAAGTAAAGCGTTAGCTAAAAATAAAAAATGCCTCAGAATTCAGTGGGTTATAGGTGCAAAATGTTTGTTATTAACAGGCCTAAAAAGTTGAATAGGTAGGTAGGCGAAATCCAAAATGGCGGATCCAAGATGGCGTCTGAAACTGAAAAACCATTGAAAATTGATAAAAATCAAGACCAAAACTTATGATTTTACCGTTTAAACTCCTTATTCTGATCTCAAATGCTATAATTTCAGTACATATTTTATGTACGGATTTTTAGAAATGGACAATCCAATATGGCGGTTCCAAACGATCTTCAAATGTAATAAAAACGGTGAAAAACTGTGAAATTCAAGTGAAAACAATCTCAGACGATCATAGGTATTCACCGTTTACGTCGTCAAGTCGTCAAATGTTTGCTTTATACTACATTAGGAAATTACATATCATAAATCCAACATGGCGGATCCAAGATGGCGGCTAAAACCCAAAAATCGTCGAAAATTGTCGGCAATCAAGACTCTGATTTAAGATTATGATATTTACACTTTTTATATTGATCTGAAATGTAAAAATAAATGTAAAATTTTATTCAAAATCCACTTGAAATGCACGAAAACTGATTTTCAGATTTAAAAAATGATTTGATGTTTACAAAAAAATATATTGACAGACAAGATAAATAACAATTTATTATCGCTTTTACAACAGTTTTTATTTAATTGGACCTGTAATGTTGAAATTTTATTAATGAAATCTGAATGTAAAATGAGTAATCGAATTTAAGCATTTGATTTTATCAATTTTCGACGATTTTTGGGTTTTAGCCGCCATCTTGGATCCGTCATGTGGGATTCATGATATGTAATTTCCTGATGTAGTATAAAACAAACATTTGACGACTTGTAAACGGTGAATATGATCGTCTGAGATTGTTTTCACTTGAATTTCACAGTTTTTCACCGTTTTTATTACATATGAAAATCGTTTGGAACCGCCATATTGGATTGTCCATTTCTAAAAATCCGTACGTGAAATATGTAATGAAATTATAGCATTTGAGATCAGAATAAGGAGTTTAAACGGGAAAATCATAAGTTTTGGTCTTGATATATATCAATTTTCAATGGTTTTTCAGTTTCAGACGCCATCTTGAATCCGCCATGTTGGATTTCGCCTACCTACCTATTCAACATTTTAGGCCTGTTAATAACAAACATTTTGCACCTATAACCCACTGAATTCTGAGGCATTTTTTATTTTTAGCTAACGCTTTACTTCAAAACCTTGAATTTTCCCTGATTTCCGGCAGCCATATTGAGCCGCCATTTTGTTTATCACAATGTGTCTTTATTTTTCATGTTATAACTGTAGTAAGTAAATATTTTTTCTACATGCAGCAAAGTAATATCTACTTTAGGTGACAAATATCGTGGTAGCGGCACTATTTAAGTTTCTTAAAATGTGCCTTTATAGGTTCTATTTAATAAAAAAATTACATTAGTTTTATTTGTTTTTATCCTATTATGTTATTGACTTGTACACCTAAAAATCGGAACACCATGTAGATTATATAGAATTTTCCATTATCAACAAATTTTTTTATTTATTTTTTTTATGTTTTTTATTTGTGACGACATAATTTCTAATATTGTATTATAATTTTCTGGAACTTACCACCTTTATGAGCATCTCTACTTAAATATTCTATTGTTCCATCATGTGCTTTCTTGGGATTCGGTTTAAATTCCTTTTCTGTGCTAAACTTAGTGGCTAATCCAAAATCAATTAAATATGCCTGATTTGTAGTTCCTTTCATTATTCCCATTAGAACGTTAGCTCCTTTAATGTCGGCGTGAACATATCCACGATTATGAATGTACTCCAACACATCCAACTAGAAATAAAAAAATAGCAGAAAAGGGAAATGAGAATAATATACCTATTAAAAAAATAAGAACTGAAAGATATCTTGGGCCATCCTTACATACTAAACATAAATTTAAAAATGTACTTACAATTTGAATACCTAATTTGAACACTGTATCAGAAGGGAAAGATCTTTTATGTTCTAAATATATTTTCCACAAATCTGTACCAAACTTCTCCATTACTACAAAACGATATTTCTGACTTTTAAATTCGTGTGATCCAGAACCGAGATACAAAGGCATACCAAAAGTTTTCAGACCTTTTTCTTTTTTAAATTCTTCAACTAAAAAATAGTAATTATAGATTTTATCCTTAATATATTAAAAAAATATTACTATCAGTAGGTTTCGCATTTCGCATGTAAAAATGCATTTCGACAAACAACGGGCCATTTGCATGAGGTTCCTGAAAAATCATTGAACTTAATGAAGTAATAATTTACAATAAATATTAGATATTACAATTTTAACAACATATGGATAATTTGACCCTGTAGAACCTTCTTCTTGAGCTGCATATATTTCACCAAAACCCCCTTGACCTATTGGAGAGCCCAATTTCCATTTCTTTCTGCCAATATCTTCTAATATTTCACCTTTTGGTAACCGTTCAGCTAATTTATATCCATTTGCAGCCTTTCGTTTAGGGGCCGCTTTAGCCATTTTAAATATGATTTGTGAAGAATGTCTAAATTTATTTTAAATTAATAAAAAACCTCTAATAACAATAAAAAACATCACACAACAAAATTACATAACCTCATTTTGTGATAAATACGCGGTTTGAATTTAAATGGTGCCAACTTGACATTCTTTTGAAGTGATATAATTTCAAAATCAAATACCTAGATGTATATAATTTGGATATTAACCATCTGAAAACTTTTAATTTACCTTAACGTTTGACCAAAATTAATTTGAGAATGAAATATAATTTTAACACATACCACATAACACATACGAAGATTTGGAACTTATAACAGTTTTATAACAAACTAGTGACACCGGATCAGGATGAGATGATCAGAATGACCAGTTCAGCTTTCGCATTCAATTAGTTTGTTGTTTGTTTGGAAAATGGCTTCGAAGGTTAAGCTGAATGATGAGGTGAGTGCTTATAAATGTTTATTTATTAATGTATTGCATGTTACCAGCCTTTAAGCAGTGCCGAAACGTAGAAATGTAAATATGTTTTAATATAAGATAACATTATTACCTGATAAGATACTGTTATCTGTTAAAAATGGGTCGTTACGATAGCCACGCCTATTTAAAAGTTTTTGTTGACAAACGGGGAAAAGGAAAAAGGCATACACGGACCTTTTAAATTTAAAATTATCTTAAAATTACATGAGCATCAAAAATAAATTGTTCTATTTCATTTTTTGTTTTTGTGTTTATGTTTAAATTTAGATCATTTCATATAATCGAATTGTTTGTAAAAACACTGGAAACACCTGTAGATATTTAATTTAAGGACTTTTTCATTATTAGTTACTGTATACTCGTATTATTTACCTATTTCCAAGTAGGTATTTATGTTATTCATCTCGATTTGTATCTTGGATGACTAATGCCTTTTGTATTTAACTGTAATGACTAGGTGCGGTTGAGGTTAGTGTTAATTCATTAATTTAATATCCAACAACACAACACGTATCAGAAACACCCTCAGTAGATATGTAGGTACTTAATACCAAGAATCTCAAGTTTTATTATTTCTTTATCATATTCATATAATTGTAAGGTACTAATTAGGCAGGTATTCTAATTTATATTTTATTTCATTACACAGTTCGTCAATTTAGGAATGTAGTACCCGTGGTTGTATGAGAATTGTGTAGTATTGAAATAAGTACATAGGTAGTTCGGTAGGTTGGTAGATATATTATAAAAAAGTGCGAGAATAGTTGTTACTTTTAAAGTTAACATAAAGACATGTTCCTGTACTTATTATGATTACAATTATATGAATACTTAAATGTGTACAATTCACAAATCCCTTTTTTAATAATTAATTACTATTAATGCGCTATTGAATTTAGAATCAAGAACTTGAACAGTTTCAAATACTTTTTGTTAACTGTTATTTATGTACCAATTTAACAACAGTTAGTTCAGGTTCAAGTTGTATTCAGGATTTTAGAGAGCGTTGCTTAACATTTAAGTAAACTTTACACAAAGCTGCAACTTCTAAATAAATAAAAATTAAATGTTGCTCGTGCTGGATCGATTGGGCTATTTTTTTTTAAATCTTCGTAATAGCTCGAATAAGGTTTTTAGGAAAAGAAAAATTAGTAAAGTTGCCCGGAAAATTGGAAAATTCGAGAAAAACAGTGCTTTTTTCCATGGCATTTTTGTATGAACTTAAAACCTTAATTCACGATTCGAACGATGGATATGCGTAATTCTTTTTTTGTTTTGTTCGTTATGGAAAAGTTTTCAGAAAAAAAAAATCGGGACAATTACAAACGAAAGTCGGAAAATTAGAAAAAAAATGCAAACATTCATTTCTTAATTTTTACTTTGTTTTACACATTTTCAATAGCTTTTCACAAATTCACGAAACAATCAAAGACAAATTTATTGAAATTTGAACAGAACAACGTGATCGCGTCAGCTACTTATTGATAAAAATCACAAAAATTTACCTACATACAAATGGAGTGAGGGCCTGTCACAAAACTGGGCATATTAATTATCGTGTCTGCCATAAAACTGATTACCTAGGTGCTTAGAAATTAAAATTCTGTCAAAAACAACAATTCGTTGAAGAATAGGTTGTAAGAAAACATTTTAATTTTTTTTCCACCAAGATTACGAAAACACTAGGTATAGACTTATTATTATAAGTCCTTTCAATTTTTTTAGATGAAACACTACTGTTGTGACAATCAATTTATAAAAAATAACTTGATTTAACTAAAGGACAATTTTTTTAACTGTCAAATAAGTTTAATTGTCAATTAATCTGTTTTTTTCTCAAGTGTTTATGCATACATTTTTTTGAGACAGATGTAGAATTAAACTGACAAATAAATTTATCAGGTGGTAAAAGAACTAGCAATGTCCAATAAAAAAACTGATGTTAATCCTTTATTATTGTAGTTCCAAGAAAACGTAAAAGTTAGTATATAAAAGACAGTGGCGATAAGACGTCTTTTGATTTGTGCCGCCATTTAACGCCTAGCGTCTGAATTGAGGATATTTTATAACGGGCGTCCCAGAATATGTGGACAATCTCTCGGATTTATACAGGAGGCATTAAAATAACATGACAAGTTCCTATAAAAATTTTCCCTAGAGGATCACTCTACGGTGATACAGGCCCCTAAAGGACGCCCTTGAAAATCGATTTTTTTAAATAACTTAAAATACCTACTTTGTATAATTTAATTATTTTTTAATACGTTGGACAACAGATAAGATTCCTTAAAATTTGGCTTATGTGGTTTGCCAGGGACGGACTAGCTGTAGCACAATGTAATTTTTTTACATCCTTTACGATAAAGGTACAAATATATTTTTAGATAGCTTGAACCTTAAACATGCACTCTTGGTTGATATCGATAAAAGGGACAGTTTTCGAAAAAAAACTATTTTTGTTTAATATGATTTTTATTACGTACATAATTTTGTATATCAGTTCAACATGAGCTCCTTCTAATGTTATGCATTTCCTAGCTCTGCGATTTGAAGATTGTTGGATCCTGTTTTGTATTAAAAATAATTAAATTACACAAAGTATTTTAAAAGTTATTAAAAAAAAAACGATTTTCAGGGCCGTCCTTTAAGGGTCTGTACCTCCATAGGGGGTCCTCTAAGGAAATTTTTATAGAAACATCCTGTTATTTTAACGTCTCCTGTATAAATATGAGAGATTGCCCACATATTCTGGGACACCTTTTTTAGATTTTTTAGAAGTTTTTGGCGATAAGTATCTACCTACTCATAGACACTTGTGACAACCGATAGAATTATATTTTTGGCTAATATCTTTTATTTTAAGTTTCAGTTGAAATCTAAATTTCAAAAAGTATTGTCAAATGTGAAATCTGACATGCAAGATCGCCATTTCGTGGCAAAACGGGCAGAGTTTACACCTCTAGTGACATATTGACACCACATTTTTTTTTCAAAATATTAAAAATATTTAAAAGTTTTGTGTAATCCTCTTCTTACTTTGTTGTTGTGAACAACAAAATTGCTTCTTAAGTGAGGATGTGGATTTTTAGGTATATTCTCTTAGTTACGTTGCGAAGAAATGGTATAATGTAGATATTTTGTATTGATGTATTCTTACAATAAAGAATATTCTGTTGATCTTCAGTAAACATTATTGTCGAAAAAAACGAATAAATATGCTACCCAACCCGACGATTTATGATTACACTTTTGTATTTCCTTTCGCCCCCTCTTGACGTCACAAGGCTATACAATTCAGCGCTATCATGTACTTAATTCATTGAGTGCTAAGTGTACATCATTTATGTTTGTTAGATGTGTGTTAGTGGAACGGCGGCGGGCGGCGAGACGTGAATCACGCCAACGACAATTTGAGAAAAGTTTATTTCCTGAATTTTGAGAGTTAAACGAAAAATACCTATCCATTCACAGGAAGCTTTGCATCCGAACCGACAGACTTATTGTTTGACAAGTTGGATTGCAATGCCAATCCTAGTTTATGGCATGCAATGTCAACGGTTGAACAAATACAATTTCCATCAATTCGTAAATGCTGACCTACAACATTAGCATACTTTGCTTTAAAAACACCTAGACACGAATGCAATTTTAATGCTATCACCGATATAATATTTATGTCTTTTTCCTGTCTTGTTAGGATTATATTTTTGCGAGCTGAAGAAAATACAAATAGACGCGTGAAGATAATAATAATTTCATGTCGAAATGAAGGCCGTATTTCCACCTCGAAACGTCCTTGGAAAGGCGATCAATAGATGTCGCGAGTTTGTGGAAAACCCCACGAGCGTACCAATGTATCACAAATATTGAATAAACTAATTTTATATCGATTTGTAGCAGCTCCTTTTTATACTACCTAGTTATTTAACAGAATAGTTTTTGACAAATATCGGTAGATGAACATTCAGATAAAGTATTTACAAATATGTTAAATAGGTTACTGATAGCGTTGTTACAATTTGTCCTAAAATAATACTTTATTTCGATTATGTGGTAAATATGTTGGAAATACCTACCTATTTCTTGCATAGGGGCTACCAGGAACCGAAAAGGGATAGCTGTCTTGGAAAAAAGCTGAATGAGGTTGCTTCCTTACAAATTACAGATCTTTTTTTTAAGACAGTTTCCGTTTTAATATATTTTTATGAAATTTTGTATAGGGAGGTTTTTTAGGCATCGTCTTTATTTTAATTTTTACAAATTTACCAAAATTATAGAAATTTATTTTTCGATTACCATCTTATTGTACAGCTTGACCTAACTCATGATGCATAGATCAAGATGAGATAGACAAAGACAGGAGACCATAATAGTAGGGCAGTAGGTTCAGACAGAGAATGAGCTCCGGTGCTAATCTGGTAACGATTCCACTGCGCAACTGAATCTCGTGGATAAGATGAATTTGGTTAAGTTGTGCCACCTGCATAAATAAAACAAAGACCAGATATGATTTTCTACGGTTACCACGTGCTCGCCAACCTGTATCTGGAATTATTTCTAGTTTTCTCGCCTTATATGCCATCGCTAAATTTTTGGTATCTTGTAGGAATCTTAATATTTGTTTTGCTTCATTCCATCTGGAAAACAGTTATTAAACTGACTGAGTTGCTATGGCCAAATACATACATTAACGGAGCTATAAGAGCGATAGAGTAATTTTCAGTAGCTTTGCTTTTTCTTAGTTCTTAGTTTTTAAGGAGTTCGTTCATATACTTGGTTTGTTTTGCAAAAAATGGAACTATTTTCTTGTTAATACATGTTGATATAATCAATTAAACTTTGTTTAATTTCATGTAGACATCCATTTTTCGAAAATGTAGTGATTAAATTGTCATTTATAATGTGCATATGCATGGACCTGCGAATCATAGTTCAAATTTCTTAAGTTGTCTCTAACTTTT